TCTTGAAAATATTTTCTGGACCTTTGAACCTGATGTCTTCTTTTTCTTCTGCTCCTATTATACTTAGGTTTTGTCTTTTCATGGTGTCCTTGATTTCTTGGATGTTTTGTGTTTGGAACTTTTCTGATTTTATTTTTTTCTTTGAGAGACGTGTCAATTTCCGCATGTATCTTCGGCTCCTGAGATTCTTTCTTCCATCTCTTGTATTCTGTTGGTCATTCTTACCTTTGTAGTTCCTGATCTTTTCTCTATGTTCTCCAGCTCCAGGTTTTTCTCTATTTGTGTTTTCTTTATTGATTCTAATTCTGTTTTCATGTCTTGTACCATTTCCTTCATCTGTTTGAATGTGGAGTCCTGCTTTTCAATGACAGCTTCTATTTTTTGCCTGTTTCCTCTCTATATTTCACTAATTGTGCCTCTACTTCTTTGGCTATAATTGCCTGTATTTCTATGAGAGCTTTGTTTGTTTCTTCTTTATTTGCCTTCATTTGTATGGACATTTCTTTGAGAGCTTTGTTCATTTCTTCTTTGTTTGCTTCAATTTTCGTGGTCATTTCTCTAAAAGCTCTATTTGTTTCCTCTTGGTTCGCCTCGATTTCTTTGGCTATTTCATTTCATGTTTATGGGCCTCTAATAGCTGGAGAAACATAGTTTTGAGGTCTTTTTCTTGTATATCTGAAGTGTCTATTGGTTTGTGGGGTTGCTGGTGAGGTCATTATGTCCTGATTTTTGTTGGGAGTGTTCTTACGTCTGCCTCTAGCCATCTGGTTATTTATAACCCTCACTGTTTGTTCCTCGAGTTTGTAGTTCGGGCTATGATTGTCTCTTTCTGTTTTCTGGACTGTTTTTTCAGGAAGATGAGAGAGGTTCACTGGTTTGGGAGTGTGCACTGTGTTTTCAGTTTTGCCTAAGTAAGGAATGTGAAGCTTGCGCTATTCGCGTGCGCTTTCAGTGGGCGCGATGTGCATGCGCAAATTCTCTGACTATTGCAGTGGCCTGCAGGCCACTATTATGCAGTTCTGTCTGAGATCCAGGGATTGTTTGCTTGGATTACCCTGGTGGACCCACAACGTAGAGGCTTCAACGTTGTGGTCACTATCCCAAGAATCCCTATGATGCCCACACTAGGGGTGTGGGTGGCAGGGATCTCTTCTGGTTGCTTCTGTGGAGAGGCCCTGGGTCTGGGGCAAACTCTCCTTAGAAGGCTCACTCACTCTCTTGCAGGACCAGTTGGAATGCACAGGGGTTCTCCTTGCTCTCTACTCTCTTATTTGGTCCTGCTGTGGAAAAATGCGTGGGTAGGCTAACAGTCAGCTCTGTGACACTGTGGCCACAGGACTGGGTGTCCACCTTTCCTGTATGCTGCCTCTCTGTCCTTTCCCTCTGCCAGGAGGGGTTATGTTGACTGGTCCCAGGGTAGCGTGGGAAAGTGTTGGGTTGAGTGTTCTCAATCCCAGATCCCAGGCCCAGATCTTCTGCCTGAAGCAGCCTTGCAGTAGAACCTATGTTTGCTGATTCTGAGAGAGTACCAGGTATTGTTGAGTGTCCTCAGATCCTGAGCCAGGGTTTCTCCGCCAGGGGCTGCTGGGTGAACTGGAGAGGGAGTGCTCTGTCCTGTGGAAGGTTTCCTCTCTGTCCTTCCCCTCTGACCTTCCCCTCCGCTAGGGCAAGCTTATGGTGGTGCTCTCAGGGGAGTGCCAGAAGGGGTTGCGACTTCTCAGTCCGATCCTGAGCTGGGGTTTCTCTGCCAGGGGTCGGGGGCTGCCGGTGCTAGGACTTAAAGCTAGACCTTATTGCGCTGGACCTGGGAGAGTCTCAGGACGTGTGGAATGACCATAGTCCCAGATCCCGAGATGAAGTTTGTTAACTAGGAGCAGCCAGCAGCACTAGGGTCCTGGTGCTGTGAATTTTCTGTGCGCCTCTCTAACCCTCTGCTCCACCGTGGCAGGGTTATGGCAGCGTTCTGGTTCTTATTGTGCTGGACCTGGGAGAATAACAGGATGTGTGGAATGACCACAGTCCCTGATTCCGAACTAAAGTTTGTTTGCTAGGAGCAGCCGGCAGCACTGGGATCAGGGCACTGTGAAGCCGCTGTGTGCCTCTCTATCCCTCCACTCTGCCACAGCAGGGATATGGAGGCATTCAGGGAGTGCCCGAAAGGATTGGGTTTTCTCAACTCCAATCTCGTTTTTTTTTTTTTTTTTTTTTTTTTTT